ACACACACTGTAAACATCTGTTGCTGGGCAGGGCCCTGCCCATCTTATTCACACCCCCAGCTCCAGCACAGGTCTGCCGCCTAGTAGGTGCTCAGGAAATATTTGGGGGATGAATGAGTGAGCAGGACCGCAGGTCGTCCGGTCAGGGAGGCACCCTGTGCACACCACCACCAGTGGAGCTGAGGTTGAGCGAGGGGCGAGGACCTGGCCTGGGTCCGAGCATAAATGAGGGTGCCTGACCGGGACCCCACTTCCTGCCTCGGAGCTCGGGTCGTGTCCAACCCCAGCAGGCGGTTCTCCTTCTGCTTTCTCTGGGACAAGGATGTGGCCTCTGCTGCTCGGTGGCGGGTTCCGAAACACACTCCCTCTTCCGCTTCCATTTCCCCCACAGAGAGCCGGCGGGCGGCAGGCTAGTGTGGGATGCGGGCACCGGGGACACACGCCACGTGGTGGTCACCCCCGGGGGTCCCGGCCCCCGCCCTGAGCCCTCTCCCCGGGCAAAGCACCTTTATTCCTGTTGCTACCCAGACCAGGCCTGTGAGGCTCTGGCCAGGAGGCGGGGCCGGTATTGGGAGCCCCCACCTGCTCCCTAGGAGTCCTCCCTGTCTGGTGGCCCTGGGTGCGCACAGACATGATGGGAGGCAGATAGGGGCCAGCTCTCAGGCCTTGAAAATAGTGTGAAAGTACATATTCTACCTTTATTCCCCCCTCCCCCAACCCCCAATGACAGGTACAGCAGCACAAAGCAAGTTTGACAAGAATCACCTTGGGGGTGGGGTGAGTTGTGAGAAACGGAGGTGAAGGTATTAAAGATTCCGAAGCACTGCCTTCAGAATGTGGGGGCATCAGGTTGTGAAGACGGGAGTCTGACATGAGAGCAGGTGTGGCTGTTCTGGGGGCGCAGGTGGAGGTGGGCAGGGACGGAGCAGCTGTGCCCCAGGTGTGAGCGCCCGGGGCCCGTCTGGACGGAGGGGCAGGCTGCCATGGGGCAGGGGGAGGGACATCTTGGGGTGGCAGGCCGGACAGCTGGCCGGGAGGCTGAGTGGAGCAGCCTTTTCCGTGCCCACTGGCCTCCGTCGGCCAGCCCAGCGGAGGGCATGGTCATTTAAGGTGCTGGCCAGGCCGGGCAGCTTATTGGGTGGCAGGCCCCCTGGGGCAGAGATGGCGCAGGCCTTCCAGGGGGCCCGGGGAGCTATTTTTAGTGGCCTGGGCTGACTCCCAGATCCTGCTGACTATTTCTGGCACCAGATCGCCCTGAAGGATGTGGAAAATTTTCATGTTAGGAATGTCTGGTTTCCCTTTGGCTCTGCAAGGGCAGAGCGGGGAGACGGGGACAAAGGGCGTGGGGCCCGAGGGCTTCTGGGAAAGTTCACCAGCACGGGGAGCAGGACATGGCCTCGTTCCTGCCCTTCGGAGACGGAGACGAGTATCGGCTTTTGAAAACACCGGCAGCCCTGTGGGTGACGAGCCCTCCCAGTTTGCCTGAGGTGCCCCCGTTTTCAGCAACAAAAGTCTGGCAGCCAGGGCCCCCTTCAGGCCCAGGCAAAGCGGGGGGCCCGGTCCCCCGAGCCCCACGCCAGCGCCTTTCAGTTCCAGATGTGAAATTAGTGAGAAGGATCAGAGCTGAGCCACATGCGTCATCTTCCAGGTTGTTCATCATCGTCCTGTGCAGTAGGTACTGCTCTCCCCGCTAGTTTACAGGTGGGGAAACCGAGGCACAGAGGTGGTGCCTATTGTGGAACAGCTGGCTGAGCGCTGGGGCCGGATTTTATGATGCTGGGAAGAAAAGGGAGGCTTTGGACCCAGGAAAACGTGGGCTCAGTCACTCTCTAACCACTTAACTTGGGATAAATAACACCTATTTGGCCCAAATGCCCTGAGGGTTACATGAGAAAGTGTCATTGCACAAGGCAAGGCCTGACACTAGCAGGTGCTTAGTACTGGCTCAGATCCCCACTGCTCCGGCCACCCCTTTGGGGATGGCAAGCCCTGGCCATGGGCATCGCCCTGGCTCCTGGCGGCCAGATTGCTGCCCTCCTGGCCCCCTGGCTCCCTGGCGGACAGGGAGGGAGGGGGGCATTGTGTTGTGGGGGAGAGAACAGGCCTGGAGCCGCCAGCCCAGTTCCACGGTGGCCTCTAGTGTCCTTGCTGAGCTCTGGCCTCCACTTCCTCGCTGTAGAGTGGGCGAAGGAGTCCGCTCTTCTCTCCTGGAGGTGAAGGAGGTTCAGGGCGATCACTTGGGACCTGGCTTCTCCTCACTCAGGTGCGCAGCCCATCGCACCCGGGGGTGGGCGGCTGGGGGAGGCGCGGGAG